CGGGTATTTATTCTTTATTGTCACCTTGTTCAGTTCTCGATAGTCAATACAAAGGCGCAAGGTCCCATCTTTCTTTTTCACAAACAACACCGGTGCACCCCATGGTGAAGTACTAGGTCGGATAAACCCTTTGTCAAGTAGGTCTTGCAACTGTTCTTTCAGTTCTTTCATTTCGGTAGTAGCCATTCTGTAGGGAGTTTTCGAAATAGGCTGGGTGCCTGGCATAGTCTCAATTGTAAACTCTATCTCCCTGTCCACCAATTCCCCTGGTAGTTCATTTGGAAACACATCTGGAAATTCTCTAATAATAGGGATACTATTCAATTCAACATCTACGGATTGTTCAGACAACACATAACACAAATAACCCTGGCACCCTTTCCTGATCAATTTACATGCCTTCATTGCAAATATTAAATAAGGTGGAGGCACTATCCCATTACCTACAAACACAATTTCTTCATGTTCTGGTGGTCTAAACATAACCCGTTTTGTCACACAGTCAATGGTGGCACAATATTTAGTTAACCAATCCATACCCAGAATTATATCAAAGTGCCTAAAGTTCAAGGGCAACAAATCCACATATAGGATGGCATTCCCAACACGCATGTCACAAAAACGATATACAGATTCACACAATACAGATTCCCCGGATGGAGCAGATACACATAGCAGATATGGCAATAATTCTAGGGTCTACTTAGTCTAGATACAAATGCACATGTCACAAAAGAGTACGTTGATCTGGAGTCAATTAACACAAAAGCATCCTGATTACATATAGAAATAGTACTTGAGACAACTGCGTTAGCATTCCGTGTATCGCCCGAAACAAGCACAAAAACTCTCCCTTGCCTCACGGTATCTCCGGTGGTAGTAGATCTCATAGTATTCCCCGGTTTTGGGATCGATGCAGTGGAACTAGCAGCTATCTTCCCACTGTTCTGATTACAATCTCGGGCCATATGCCCTTGTTTGCCACATCTGAAACAGGCTCCTGACACACGGTAACAAACCCCACAATGCCTTTTACTACAAATGTTGCACATTGGGGATGTATCTCGGAAAGAATTCGAAGTACTTGAAGAACCTGTGTTTTGCTCTTCGAAAATTTCTTCTTTGACAAGAAGCCTTGCCTTTTGTTGCCTTTCTAGTCAGTTGTTGACTTAGTCTGTCTAGCTATGTTAGCTTCTGATATTATGGCCCTATCTAGCACTCCAATATAGGTTTCCAGCTTTAAGACATTCACCCTTTCTAAAATATCGCTTCGAAGCCCACCTTCAAAGTGCCTCGCTTTCTTATAATCAGTATCAATCACATGTGGTGCAAACCTGGCCAATTCAGTGAATTTGACCTCATACTCAACTACAGTCATGCTGTCTTGTCTAAGTTCCATGAACTCTGACACTTTCCCGTCCCAGACACATTGAGGGAAGTACTTATCATAGAAAATTTCTAAAAATTTCGCCCAATCAACATCTTTATGATTTTCACGCATTAACATCCACCATCTTCTTGCTTCGTCTTCTAGCATAAAGGTGGCTAGAAGTACTTTAGGTGTCTCCGAACAAGGGAACACTTCAAATAGCTTCTCGATGCCGAGGACCCATGCTTCGGCTTTCAACGGATCTAATTCCCCATGGAACTGTGGTGGTTTCATTTTCTTAAACTCTTTGATGAGAGCTATTACTCGGTCATCATTCTGATTATCTGGCACGGGTGGTACCGGAGGTGGAGGATGTGGTTGCTGCCACTGTTGTTGCCATTCTTGTTGTTGCCTCAATGTTTCTGCCATTCCCTGAATCAATCTCTCCATTCTATCCATTCTGGCAGTAGAGGACTCCTCTATCTCATCACCTCTTATTCTCACTATCTGATTAAGCTTGCATTATTCTTTATACAAAAGATTCACAAGTATGCATATACTAGAGAGCATACATATTCAGATAATTTACAATGCAAGCAAATCACAAACTTATAGCACATAATTGTTCATATCAAAACATTTAAACATATTCTCGATGCTTCCAAATTCATACTTATCACATGAATGCATCCTAGATCTTTTCTAGACGCTTATTGCTTTTTTGGACAAGTGTGTGAGTTATTAACTCGTGCTCTGATACCACTCTGCATTAACTGAACCCGCCCCCATGGGTTAAGGACATAACCGGCCAGTAATCCTGAGATTACCTACAGCCTCAATCCAAACCAGACATAACACATCAGAGTAAAGGGGCCAAACGGAAGCAAAATTTAAAACTTTGTCCATAGAGCTGTGCTTACATGGCACGTCATAACAAACCATACATACACATATTAATAACTCATATCAGAAAATACAGTGGCATAAAGTTCTATACAGACAGGATCATTCAAGTCTAAGTCAGCCAATCAAAACTATATACAAATATATCCAAAGTCCTCGCCGACATGACAAAATAAAACAAGATAGCAAAAGAGCGAAGACGGGTCTCGTGCGTGAGACGTAAGGGCTGACTCTTCAAAACCTCGGTTGTTCCATACAAACTTCACTGAGGCTGGGTTTGGACCTCCCTTGGCTCACCTACAAACACATGAATGAGCGTGAGCGAAAGCCCAGTGAATAATATCAAATAAAGAAGTTACACAACAGTATTTAGAACAACGTACTTCAAACGGCCTTAGGCCCAATTCGTATTTCTATCTAGCTTATATATAAATATAGGTCAAGTAACTGCGGTTCCAAACACTTCATACGGCCTCGAGCCCAATTCATTCGTATCATTTATGCCGAACGGCCTCTGGCCCATTCATTCAAGTCATATGGCCTCTGGCCCATTCATTTATGTCATACGGCCTCTGGCCCATTCACTCATGTCATACGGCCTCTGGCCCATTCATTTATGTCAGACTATCATTCGAGTCAGACTATCATCCATGTCATATGGCCTAGGACCCATTCATTCATGTCATACGGCCTCTGACCCTTCCATTCTTTCATTCATGTCAAACTGGCCTTTGGCCCATTCATTCTATCATTCATGTCATACTGGCCTTTGGCCCATTCATTCTATCATTCGTGTCATACTGGCCTTTGACCTATTCATTCTATCATTCGTGTCAAACTGGCCTTTGGCCCATTCATTCTATCATTTGTATCAAACTGGCCTTTGGCCCTTTCTTTTGGCATAGCAAACATTCGTCCACCATTCAAATTAACGAACTTATAAGACTTACACAGAAATAAGCAATTGGACAAACAACATATTTCAAATATCTTTATTAAGATATTACTCATAGTGATCGGCTGGATGATTTGCCCCGGAGCTCGACCCTGCACATTCCATGAACACAATGGGTCACAAACAATTAAATTCGTTCTTAATTCACATATTCCTCTTTAGACTTCTTTCTTATTCTTTTAACTCATTTACAATGCTTAATGAATGCCTAAGAGTACTTAGAAGTGAAAGAGAACAGAAAACGAAGCACATAATGCATTTTCAAAATTTCAAAAACAGGGGTCCCCCACTCGAGCGTGGATTCCCCGCTCGAGCGGACCCAAAAGGTCTGCAAAAGTACTAGTTGCCTCACTTTTACGCTCGAGCGTGAAGTCGGACGCTCGAGCTGAATGTCATCCCACATAGCTCTCCGCTCGAGCGGACATCATGTCTGCAAAAATACTAGGAGCCCGAATTTCCCACTCGTGCGGCAGTTCCCCCGCTCGAGCGAACGTCATAAATTCTGGGTTTTCCATAATTGTTCCTCAAGTCCAAATTCGACCTCCAAAGGTCCAAAACCCATAATTTTGGTTCCCAAACATGCAAATACATTATATAGCACATGGATGTAAACAACATGAGGCCAAAAAATCTGTTTTCTCAAAACGATTTGCCGGATTTGGACTCTTTGGTTCAGACTTAGAACCGTGACTACGAAAAGTCGAGTCCGAGCTGTAGCGAGGTCCCCCGCGGGCTTGTTACAGCATGTAATCTTTTAACTCCAATTTCATTTCAAATGGCTCAAGTGATGCTTACACACATAAAACTCATCCAAATCATGCTTGCATGTATGATCCAACAACTCAATTTTTCATAATTAGCAAGCTACATGATAGATTATACAATTCTTGCTAATTCATGATAATTCTATGCATGCATGCACATTTTAACTCCATATTCAACTCAATCTTTGCCATGAGCTACCAAACCACTTGAATTCACAAAATCACAAGCTTAAACTCATGAATTTACTCACCTAGGAGCTTTAATCTTCCAAATTATGGTTAATTCTTGAGTTGGTCTTCAATTTAATCAAGTTTCTTGCACAATCTTCAATTGCCTTCACCCTCTCTCTCTCTCTAGCTGACCCTCTCTCTCTCTCTAAAGTATAAAATCTGATTTTGAGCTGAAGCAAAGTGAATGAGGGTGTAAATTGGTCCTTTATAAGCTCATTCTCACACACATTTCTTTAATATTAAATAATTGAGCACTATTTCATTAATTTAATCTATTTAATTTGATTCGAATCAATTTTCAATTAAATTTCTCCATAGGCTCTAAAAATTACGCCAATCACAATGGCGTAGTCAATTTCGATTTCTGTGGCCGATAGGGCCTTCAATTTAAATTCTAAAGCAGATAATCAAACAGATATTCCTACGGTGAACAGATAGAAATTCAAAACCACATATTTTCACCTAAATGGCACTCACAATTATATCAAACACATAATCACATTCATAATGAGGACCAATTAGCATAATATAAAACAAGGTTATCACAACTACTCCATCAGCTCGAACCCCTCAACTTTTCCCTCACCACACCTTAAGGTGTGGCTACAAGACCACTGGGCCAATCCCAGGGTCATGTCGATGATTCACTCAGAACTAGTAACTCCAACAGCCAAAAGCAGAATATAAGCCATAGGAAAATCAGTAACAATCAACTCCAATAACAAAGGTAGAACATCAGTTACAAGGAAATCAGTAATAATATGCAAAAATTGTATACCTGTATCTAGGAGTAGACAACCCATAACTTAGTCGTCTGTACAACAAGATTTAAATCAGAGAAAATTGACCAGTGTGCTTAAGTTCTGTTAGGTACCCATTTGCAGAGTGGGTCAACTTGGTTGGTCCAGATTATTGCTTACTTGTATTTTCATAATGGTACAATTTTATCACCCTCCCTTTTTACCTCTTACTCAACAAATTTATGCACCATGCTTTAGTAGCTCATCAGTTGAGTAAGCTCCTCCAGAAACTACAACAGAACATGATTCATGGGAAAAAGAAAATACTGATATTAGTGCGTACTTCTTGGCATGTAACTACCAAAAGCTCGCTCACTCTATTATGCAAGTAAATAATGCAAAGCAACTAACAAAACACCACCCAACCATTTGATAATCCAAAAACAGAGGAATGCTTTCAGATAATCCAAAAGCACTTGTGTTTTTGGAGCAGCTTATAATGCTAAAAGTTGATCAATGCACTAGGCATATGATTAGGCACTTTGGCTCAGCTCACATTCACTAGCTACATATAACTAACCTTCAAGGCTAGGCAAAATGTATTTAATCATTAAGATTATTTCCCTCCATCTTTGTTATTGACATGGCATTCTATAAAGTTAATGAAAAGTTAAAATAAAGAGCATGGTTGGAATAAAAACATAAAACAGTTGACAGGCACAATAAAATGTATATTTTATAATAACATTTAGATAGGTAAAATGCCTACTTCCATTGGAGATGCTCAGTAGCTCATCAGTTGAGTAAGCTCCTCCAGAAACTACAACAGAACATGATTCATGGGAAAAAGAAAATACTGATATTAGTGCGTACTTCTTGGCATGTAAAATACCAAGAGCTCGCTCACTTTATTATGCAAGTAAATAATGCAAAGCAACTAACAAAACACCACCCAACCATTTGATAATCCAAAAACAGAGGAACGCTTTCAGATAATCCAAAAGCACTTGTGTTTTTGGTGCAGCTTATACCACCGTGAGACTGCGCAATGACAGAGGAGAGATCACGATGAGAGAGAGATCGCTGGCATGAGATCGTGGTGTATCGATCTCACGATCGCGCGATGAGTTCTGGTTCCAGATCTGGTTTTGCAAAGGTTGGGGGTGGATGGGCAATGGGTTGGCGGCAGTGGCGGAGGGGAATTGGTGGGAACGGCGAGGACTGGCGGAGCGGTGGCCGGAGGAATCTGGTAGGGGTGGCCGCCGGTTACAGAACGTGGTGTTGAAAGAGGAAGAGAGAGGGCAGATGGAAAGAATTAAGGCCATGTTTGGTGAATTTAGTCTGATGAGATTAGTCCTGAGACCATGGTTAGTAAAGGGATTAATAATGTTGGAATTATTAGTGAGAAAATTAAATAAAAATGTGTTGTTTTGACGATAGTATAGTAAATAATTGTTTAGGAGATTGTTAAATTATTTTTATTTAAAATAAATATAAATATTTTTATATTAAAAATATTAAAATATAAAAGTCCCTTAGTAAAAAAAATAAATTTTTATATAAAATAGATCCAATCTTTTTATTATTTTTCTAATCTCATTTAAAATCTAACCAAGTTAATCTCCTTATTGAGGGGGTTTACCAAGTCCCTTAGACTATCAATCTGTCCTCCCATTTCACTATCAAACATGATGTGGATGAACCCACAACCATCCATAGTAGTCCAATTCAACCACTCAAATCGTGAAACGAACATGGCCTAAGGGTAAATATGTAAATTGATTCATGGTTTTCTAATTATTTTTTAAATTTTTTTTGTATTATGTAATTACTTTGGAAAAAATTATAGGTCTCCAATTTTCTACAAACAAATGATTAAATGTCTCGCATGGGTGTAGGGTTCACAAAATTGCGAACCCTACACCTATGTGAGACATTTGATATTTTTTGATAGAAAAATTAATATTCCTAACAATGCCTAATTATTTTTTCAACAACGCTACCTCCACTAAATTTAGAGTCGTCTGAATTTGTTCATGTTGATCATCTGAATTATAAAGTGATGACCATGATAGATCAGGGTAAAACCGAGTCGCCCAACTAACACAAATTTAACTAATTCAAGCCACAACAAATTTAATAAATAAATCATTTCACTTATTTTTTTATTCATACTCGTTTTGCAATTATTCCTTCAATTTTAACTTTTTAATCAACATTTAACAAATCGCTTCTTATGATTTCTGAAATAATATTTTTTAATGTCTAATGGTATTTTCCCTTCACTCATAATAGTATTCGGAAATGTCTAGACACCGGTTCTGATCCACTTAAAAAATTTTGGTAGGTAATTTTATCAAGGAAATTAATTTGTGTATTGTAGAGTTTACAAGGGATCTATATAAAGTGTGACAGAAATTAATTTTTGAGTAATTTCTAAATTGATAAAGATGAATTTGTAATATTACTCATAATATTCCCTCCGTTCTACAATAATAATCTTTCTAGAGATTCTATTTTTTTTATGAGACATATAATTATTGTTTTAAAGTCAAATCAAAATATATTAATTTAGGGCAAGGGGTGTGTCATGACCCAAACCCGCCCCTATAGGTTTAGTATCGTAACTGACCAATAATCCTTAGATTACCAAAGGCCTCTTGATAGAATAACATATAAATAGGAGCTGTGGAAACAAATATAGAAGGTATACAATATCCATAGAGCTGTGTTAACGTATATAAGATAGAACACTTTAAAACAACTTATATATATATATATATGTGTGTGTGTGTGTGTGTGTGTGTGTGTGACGTCATAGATACGATAGTCTTACGTCATCCATTTACACAGATAAAGTCAAAAGGAAACTTAGCCCAAGTACAAATAAACAGAACAAAACCAAATAAAGCCTTGACAAGGACCTCTCAAAAGGAACCTCCTCGTGAGGCACGGTGGTTGGCTGACAAAAGAGAATCTTAGGCCGTCAACTCTAGACCTGGTCACATGCCTGATCACCTATATACATACATAATATAAATAGTGAGTGGGAGTCTAGTGAATAATAACAAAGTAAAAGGTTTAAATGAGCGATCTCCCTAATAGATTCAAAAATTAGAATTCATATCAAAAACAAATATATAATCATATTCTTGTTCAAACTTCATACGGAAATCAAAATTCATACTTAATCATACATGGTACATCCATTAGCGTTATCTTGCTTATTAGTTCCATAAGGAACCTCCGGTACCGGAAACTTATAATATACTTGAGCCACGGTATTGTTACCCCGGGCAAAAGCCATGAGACCATGGTATTATTACTTCCGGGCAAGGGCCTTGCTTAAAAAGGCACGGTATTGTTATCCCCGGGCCAGGGCCTTGTACTTGTAGACCACGGTATTATTAACCTCGGGCAAGGGCCTTGTGCTAAGGATGCCACGAATATATTTTAGAAATTTGGACAATCATTTATTCATACAAAACATCGCATTTCAGAAAACTAATCATTTCATAGCATCAGGAAATAATTAAAGTTAAACATAACTTTACAGTGTTATTACTCACAGATGGCTCCACTTCCAAAACAGACAAATTAGATAACTTGTAACGCGTAACCTACACACACATAGCAGAAACACATAATGAAATACACATTTGGTTGATACTTAACTTCTTTCATTTCATTCTTAGTGTTTTTCTAAGTCTTAGCCTCTTATTGAGTCTTAAACATGGCCTACGATGCAATGTGAATGCCAAAATGCACTTTGGGACTCTTAACAAAACTTGCTGAAAACAAGGGTTATGCTCGAGTGCAACTTCCCTCGTTCGAGCGGACATGCAAACATGTGAGGGGCCGCTCGAGCACAGATTCCCTCGCTTGAGCAATCTGCAAACTTTGAAAAAGTACTGGTTGTATGAAATCTTCACTCGATGGCCGCTCGACGATTGCTCGAGCGTGAGACTAAGGTCCCCGCTCGAGCACAACCTATGTCGCTCAAGCGGTCTGCAAAATGTGAGAACTTCTGGGAGCTTGCATTACTCGCTCGAGCAAACTCTTGGTCGCTCGAGTGGAAATGCAAGATCACAGAGTGGTCGCTCGAGCGCAGATTATGCCGCTCGAGCGGAAGTGCAAAATTTGGAATTTCTAGATCAAGCTCCAAACTTGAATTACACCCTTCAAAACTCATCTTTTTAGGCCAAATTTCCAGAAAACATTTAGAAACTTATAAAATACCATGGTTTGGAGATCATTTCATGAAATCAAGGCCCAAAATTATGTCAGTTGTTCAAAATCCACCTAAAGACTTTAAGAACATAACATGAATACTACATGCACGAAATGGTTTGAGCTTCAAGTGTCCAAAACATAATCAAATGAGATGTTTAGCTCAAAAACATGTTGAATTCTTAAACCATGGCTAAAATATAAACATGCATGGGACAAATTCTCAAACAACATGCTCTATTTGTCATGTGATGCACATGCATGCATACATGCATGCATCTTTTTCTACATCAATCAACTTAGTTCTTGCTTTAATTCACTTAGTTCTTTTGAATACATGTGGTAAGTACTCCAATTACACAACTAAAGGCTTGACTTCTTACCTTAGGGGCCCAATTTTAGCTTAGATGTGTTGATGTTTGAGATCACAAGTCAATTCTTTCAATTCCCTTTCAAGTCTCCCCAATTCTCAAGCTTAGAGTCAAATCTTTCTACTCCCTCTCTTACTCTCACGTTTTGCCACCAGGGATGAAGATATGAGAGTGTAAAATGTGAATGAGGGTCCATTAATACTTTATATAGGCTAAATTAATGGTTTAATTACATGGTTGATCAAATTACTCAATTAGACATAAATTATTCTAATTAAATCATTCCGAATAGACTTTCAATTGAACCTTTCATAAAATTCTAAAAATTCTAACTAACACATAATTCAAGTCAATTTCGCGAATGGAAGCCGATAAGGTCTTCAATTCACAGAATAGAACGTCAAACATATATTGCTACAATGGACTGATAAAAACACAAATAACCTCGTACACATATGCAAACAAATACAGAATTTCATCTTAATTCTTCTTAGGCATAATTATCATGGATTAAAAACTAATCACAGGTCGGGGTTGTTACAGTCTTCCCCCATTAAAGAGTTTAGTTCTCCAAACTCGGATTATCTTCATTTTGGAAGAATATCAGATCCAAAGGAAATAATTCAGGGTATCTCCTCATCATATCTTCCTCCATTTCCTAAGTTGCATAGGTCCCTCTGTGGTTTTGCCAATCAACTTTCACCAATGGGATTCCTTTGTTCCTTAGTCTTTTGATTCGGCGATTAACAATCTGCATTGGCCTCTCCTCATAGGTGTAATCATCTTTCAAAAGTACATGCGTTGGTTCAATGACATGTAACGGATCTCGTAGATAATCCCGAAGCATGGAGACATGGAAAGCATTATGCATATGTTCCATGACTGGCGATAAGGCTATCCAATTAA